GCAAAGTGGGTCTTTAAACAGAAGAACTGTCTCACCACCTTCCTGAAAGTGCTATGAAGTTCACATTTCAATGATAAAGAAGAAAGCATTAAAAACAATACACATGAAGATGTTGATGACATAATGATTATTACAATGGACTGAAATGATTCTTTCTTTAGTTAGAAGGCTATTCTGTGTCCTTTGGTACATTAGAGACTTCATTATTAGGAACTTCAGCTACCCCCACATAATACTGCAAAATCCTTTAGCTGACCAAGTGTATGAGGGGTGAAATTCTACCACCTTTGACAAAAGACCAAGTACTAATTGTGTAAAATTGTGCACTTATTTCACCTTCTTTGAGCTTTAGTTCTTTCACCATCAAAATGAAAATGATAATACCTACCTCTCAGGTTAGTTGTGGGGATTAAAGAAGAAATGAAAACCACTTGATAGCGTATTTTGCACCTAGTTGGGACCCCAAAACGTTAGGTTTCTGTTGTTACCTAATTGCAGTTCTTTCTGTGAATACCTAGGGGACCATTACATGTAATGATTGATATAATTACTCTCAAGAGGGGCATTTTCAACATTCAATCAACAAATATGATCTTGTCTTAATATCTGAAATTGCTGAACTAGGTGCCTAGTATCCACGGAGAAAAAGAAAAGCATCTGTTCCCAAGGGAGACTGAGCGGTAAACAGAAAGTAACAGCACTATGTGACAAGCCAATGGGACAGAATGGGGGGGGGGGGGGGGCGGGGGCTTAGAAGTCTGCTTAGGTGAGTGATGGAGGACTTCCTTGAGGTTATGTGTTTCATGGTGAAGGAGTAGGAACTGGCCAGGTAGAAGGCAGACAGGTGAGGAAGGACACAGAGGTGTAAGGAAGCACATTTTCTATAATGAAGGAGCTATTTTTGGTACCGCCGGAACAGTAAAAATAATAAATGAATGAATGAGTGAATGAATGAATGAATAAGCCTTAGCAAAGGAGAAGGGACAGGTGACTGTGATGGCAGGTGGGTTTTTGATTGATTTTATCTTGCCAGAGATGGGGAACCACTGAAGAATTTTGGGCAGGGAGATAGTGCGAGACGGGTAAATGGGAAGAAGTGAGAGAATGAGGCTGCTGGGCCTGAGAGCCAAAGAGAGCCCTTGGGGTCTCACGGCCACGCCCATCTCCCTTCCTTCAGTCATTCGAATAGTTACCGAGGACCTGCCAAAGACCAGGCAGAATTCCAGGAGCTGGAAGTCAGGCAGTGAACAGGACTGGAAAGGTCTCTGTTCTCATGGAAGAGAATGATAATAGATAAACAAGTAACCAAGCAAGGAAGTATCAGATTAGTGATTCTTGGAAAATTAAATCAGGTGATAAAGAGTCCCTGAGGCACTGTTCCTCCTCCCCGCCCCCCCCCGAATATTCACCCGAGCCTTCTCTAATCTAACTTTGGTTTCCCAAGGAGGCTTTGCTCCTAGAAAAATCTCTAGGGTAAATAATTAACTCAGCTCTCTGGGTGCTTCCAATAAGCCTTTCCTGCGTGGGGATAATCAAAGCTAAGTCTTCCCCAGGGCCTGGTCAGTTTGTAATCCTTGCTTTCGGGCGGGACCCCCGATTCCGCGGCAAGTCTCAAGTGTAAGGCTAGGGGAAGGTCACAGAAACCTTGAGACCTTTCCTGATCGTTGTTCCCGTGGCAACGTGTGACGTCCCCTCTCAGCAACCCCCCCTCTATATATATATATATATATATTTATATATATATATATATTATATTTTTTTTTTTTTAGAAGAGAAACATTTGATAGCACGATCGAAATCGTGTATTCCTCTCCTCTGAAAGGTGCAAAGTTTGGAAAACACACCCGCCTCTTCCGGCAGGAGCGCCCCCATCCCCCGCCTGGGCCTCGCGGCGGGGGTGGGTGGGAGTGAGCTGGTAGGGGAATCCCCGCAGCCGCGGTCCCTAGGGCCTGAGCCGGAGGCTGGCTGGTTACCACTAGGGCTCTAAGTGTATCAGAGCTCCTCAGCGCCAAAGGGATGTGCGCCAAGAACAAAAAAGCAAACGTTGTTGTTGTATGTAGCCGACAGGATTAGGGACTGAGAAAGCGGATTTCCCAGTGTGCCCCATGGTCTTCCCCGAGTTTGACACATTTACTCACCGCGAAAGCTTTTTGTTTTTTGTTTTTTTCAAATGAAAACTTTCAGAGACACAGGAAAGTTCTGTCTCTAGTTTTAGGGAAATCTAGTGAAAGCCCCAGGAGGGCCTTTCTGATTTTGCCAGTTTCTCTGGACTGTTTGAAAGTCATAGTTCACCCTCTGGGGACTTTAGCAGTCAGTGATGACTAAATTAGGGCCCCTGCTCTGGAGGAGTTTTTAATTCTGGTTGGGAGGAGAAGAAGCTAATGAAAATCTTCTCTTTCTTCTTCTCCTCCTCCTCCTTCTTCTTTTTTCTTTTCTTTCTTTCTTTCTTTCTTTCTTTCTTTCTTTCTTTCTTTCTTTCTTTCTTTTCTTTTCTTTCTTTCCTTTCTTTCTTTCCTTCCTTCCTTCCTTTCTTTCTTTTCTTTCTTTCCTTCTTTCCCTCTCTCTCTCTCTCTTTCTTTCAAGCAGTTTACACCTTAGGGGCTTTTACATTCCTAATGCCGTTAAAATGATACACTCAGAGCCAAAAGGAAATTTAGAGATTACCTGGGGGTTGAGGGGGAGAAGCAAATACCTGACATATACTCAGCCACTTCCTATGCTCCTGCCCAAGGTAGACATTGCTAATCGACCATTCATTACTGAACACTTATTTATTGGACATCCTACATGTTCCACACCTTATGTCAGGAATACAGCAGGAAACCATACAGACTTGTTTGCTACCCGTATGGACCTCCAAGGGGGGAGAGAGACATTAAACAAATAATTACATGCATGAAGAGTGTTTTTAAAAGGCAGAGTGTGAGGGCAAACAAGGGCATCACATATCTGGAGGTAACCTGGGGGTGGAGTGGGGTCAGGAAAGGCCTCCCTGAGGAAGTGATGTTTAAGCTGAGGTCTAGAGGATAAGGAAACTGAGTCTCTCGGAGAGTGGAAAAAGAAGCATTACATGCTGTTTATGGAAGACGACATGGGTCACACGGCATGCTCAATGGCTAAATGAGAGGGTATGGATACTAAATGGGGGGGTAGTTGTCTAGAGAGAACTGGAGGTTGGTCTACCCAGGCCTTGGAAGAAAAAGCGGAGAGGGCTGGAAGGTCAGATTGAGCAAAGGTCCGATTTATTGTTTATCCACTCCCTTCCTAGGGTATTATGCCCTCACCGGCTATTAAAAAAAAAACTTTATAAGTTATTGGCTATCTACTAAGTAGTGGCAATTCTCATGAATTCTCACATCTTCCTTGTGAGATAAGTATTATTTTTCCAGTTTTACAGATTAAAAAGAGAGAGAGAGAGAAAGCTTGGGAGGACTAGAGACACTTGCCAAAGTTGGCCATCAAGCAGGTAACAGAACTAAGATTTGAGCAGCTGCACTTTCCACAACTCCTCACTGTCCTAAAATCTCCATACCCGGGCTTGCTCTAAAAGCAATCAAATAAAACTTGGAAAGCGACAGAAAAGCTTTAATTCCAAAATATTACCGGGGGAAAGGGTGGGCAGAGATGCCCCAGGTGACTGAACTTCAAGCAGCAGAGGAGCGTGCGGGAGAAAACGAGTCGCGGCGGAGGGTGTGGGGGGGTGGGGGGAAGGGGGCAGTGAGAAGTGACCCGAAGGGCGTCCCTGGGCTCCTCCAGGACCGCGCGGCGGGGAGGTGCCCTGCTCTAACCACTACCCGGCCCGGCCCGGTTAATCATTTTCTGACCTTCCTTCCCCCTTTCGCCCTGCCCGCAGGATTGCCACATCAGCCCCCCCCCCCCCCCTGCTCGCCTCCTGGCCCTCCAGCTCCTTCGCCGGGTTTTACAAGAAGCCCCATCTTGGAGGCAATATTTGTAATAGCCCCGGACGTCCTCAAGGCCATTCCCCAGAGAGATCGAAGGCTAGCTCGGGGGTAATGCCCGACCAAGCTGCTCCTTGAGGCTTGCCCTGTCCCCTTTTCCATAAAGAGGTCAAAGAGCGGGGGATCCAGTCCCGCACGGATTAACCAATTACAAACTCAGTTTCCCTCAGGCCAAAAAGAGCACGGTAACAGCAGCCAGCAGAGTGGTGCAAGGTTTAAATGAGATATTGTGTGTAAAGTGCCTGTCTAGAAGACGGTAGTGGGTGTTTAACATGTTAGATCCCTTCCCTTTTTATCACTTGGTAATTGGGACCTCGCGCTCAGCAAACCCAGGTTCCATCTATCTCACTTGAACCTCCACTGGTGAGTGAGGTCTCAGAGTCCAACCACGTGCTCCAGGTAACGCGGATGGGGAGTCACAGTGACAAGATCTGATCCCAGGTTCGTGGGCGCCCCCGCGGGCCCAGCCACACAGTACCCAGGTGGCTGGCTAAAGGCCACGTGTTCAGGACCTAGAACTGGGTCAGTATCGCACCTGTCGCAGGGACCGTAACACTAAATCGGGACTACTCTGGGACCGACGCAGCCGGCTGGGCAACCGAGAGCCAGGAACTTAATCTCTCTGAGCTTGTGTTTCCGTGTGTAAAATGGGACCTATAGTGCCTGTCTGCCCGAGTGGTTTTTATTTGCTTCTTCACACTTTCCTGAGTGGCTAGATTTTCTACCACAGTGTCGTCAGACCACCACACCACGCGCAGGATCAGTCTTCTCTGAGAGCACTCGTTCCTCCGCGGTAAACGCAGCGGACCTGCCCGGCGTGCCGGGGCTTGGCAACCCACCCTTACCGGTGCGGAGGGGTGGGGAGAAGCCGTGGCCGCCCCGTGCGGCAGAGTTGGGAAGTCACTCGCGAACGCAGCCTGAATCTCAGGGCCACCCGCCCGCGCGCTCCGGGACCCCACCCGGCGGGAGTGGGCGGGGGCGGGGCCTGGTATGGGGGCGGGGCCTGGTATGGGGGCGGGGCAGGGCCGGCCTGGGAAGACGGAAGCCTTCAGCCTAGGAGCGGCGGTAGAACCCGGATCCCGGAATTCCACGTTCTTCGGAGCGGGGCTTCTGGAGACGGCGGGTGGGAAAACCCGGCGCCCGGAAGCCTTTGCTTTCTTTGACGCAAGGGCTCGGGACGCAGCCGCCGTCGGCCGAGCGCCCGGCGAGGAGCGACCCCAGACGGAGCCTTCGGAGCCCCTCCGCCCTCACGTCTCCAGGTCCCCGAGGCTCGGTCTTCCTCGCCGCCCTACTCGTGGCCATGGAGTGTCCGCACCTCAGCTCTAGCGTCTGCATCGCTCCGGACTCAGCCAAGTTCCCCAACGGCTCCCCGTCGTCCTGGTGTTGCAGCGGTGAGTGCGGCCCCGGGGCGGCCCTGCCGCGCACCCGAGGCCCCGGCCTCGCCAGGCCTGCCGTCTAGGGGCCGCGGGCGGCCGGCGCGCGGACCCGGAAAAGGGTGAGGGCGAGCCAGGCCCGGCGGCTGGGGAGGGGTCCGCGGTGAGGCGGGCTCTGGCGGGCGCGGCGGGTGGAGCGGCGGCGGCTCCTTTGTTTCCCGCGGCCCGACGGCCCGGCCGGCTGAGGAGAGGCCCGAGAGGGGCGGGAGCCCGCGGGGGCCACGAGCGCGTGGGGGCAGCGGCGGGCGGGGAGCCTGGCCGGCAGCTCGCCCCCCGCCCCGCCCTGCTGGGGGGCTGTGCTCACCCGTGTTGCGGGGTCCGGGGCTGTGGGGGCTGGTGTCCGGCCCCCCACGATGCGGCCGCACGTGTGGCAGGGCCCGGGTTGCGTCCCTCCTCCAGCGCACGAGAAAAGCGCCGCTCTCCCGGCGTAGCTTTGTCTGGGCTGCGGGGCGCGCTGGGGCCCTTCGCCGCTTCCTCGGCCCCGCTTCCTTTCGTTTCCCTTCGCTTCCAGGCAGGCTCGGGCAACTCGATCCACGCCAGGTGGGAATCCTCAGCCCCGAGAGGCTCTCGGAATTCGGAACTCGGGCGGCGGAGGTCGGAGTCTTTCATCAGCCAGGGAGGGTGAAGTTTGAAAACAGGCTACAGGCTAAAAAGCTCAGGAGACTGAGCCAGCCGCTGGTTTGGAGGGGCGGCTCGAGTTGCCGTTCAGATCTTCTGGGTTGTCTGAAATTGGGTTAGGATTCCCAAGTTCATGTGCTGTAAAACAGGTATTAGGTTTATGTAATGCTTTTGCGTTACTTCAGCATCTTAACTCCTTCTGCCGGGCTCTTTGGAAGCCCCAGTGCCCTCTTATTGTCTGCTCCAGCGACTTAGGATCGCACCAGCCACACTGCTTTTGATTACTTCCTGGTAGGGCCCGGGTGCCGCCGCTAGAGTCTTTGTTTATTAGCTTTGATATGATCAATGGTAGCTTGGGGTGTAGTGTAAAATTTGAATTGTGCATTTCAAAAATCTTAAGTTCATTTGAAGAAATAAAGGAAAAAAAGCAATGGAACAATTTAGGTGTGTGACATTTTTCATTGTGATTTGGAGCTGGGAAGATAGTTTGGAGAATGCCTGAACACTTTTGACAGGTTATTTCTTAAATGGTGAATATGTCCTTGGAGAAAAACATAGGCAACGCCACAAAGAAAAAAAGTACTCTAGGGTAAGGAATAGAAATAACTGCAGTTTCTTGGAGCTCTCAGAGGTTTGATGCTTTGCATGACTTTGTAAAGTCAAATGATCTTTTTCTGCATGAAGCCTTTAAAGATTAACTGGTTAATTGGTTTTACAGTGCAGTATTGCAGATTTCTTATGAGAGTACAGGAACTTGTACAAATTAGCTCTCACCTAAGAACTTATCTTCCACAGTGAATGTTGAGTATGGAAAAACATAAGGTGTATCAAATTGCTTTACAAATTGATTGGGGGTGCATTAGCTGTAATTGTAGCTATTGCTGTGGTGCTAAAACTGTAACTTCTAATTTTTTTCCCCAAGAGATTTGAAAAAAAAAAAAAGACCAAAGTAAACACTAAGAAACGTGTATATCATGAGGAATGATGCTAAGGGACACTAAGTGGACAGCACACTTCTGGCTTTTTCTAGGTGAACTCACATCAGATTTAAAGATGGCCTCACTGGGCACAAGCATCTACAAAAGGAAAAGAGTTTATGCAAGTGGCAGATATCCTGTTGTGAGTCAGTCTTGCCTTTGTCAGTCAGGGAGTCCACTTGACTGTGGAAAAGAGTGCAGAAAATTGAGGTTTCCTCTCTTGAGGAACTTAAGGTAAAATGGAGCATAACTAAGAGACTTGTGCTGATAGCAAGAACAAACCAGTATGTCTAGCTGTAAGGATGGTGTCATTTCTCTCCCAGGAGAAGGATGGCGTCTTGATGCATCTTACTACAAAGCTTGTCTCTGACATTGCTTTACTAGGGTGGCTAGTCACGTGCTTGGATTTGTAGAACCAATAAAGCTAGTTTTACAACTTTATGTGTTTTTTTTTCTTCCGTCCATATTTTGTGAATTGAACCCATTTCATCTGGGCCTCCCGTTTTAACCTCTTGGCATCCTTTCACTGATAGAATGTCTTATTGTATTGAGCTTGATCTTGTTCTTGCCTGCCTGTTTCAGTGATTAAATGATTAGTAAATTTGTGAATCCTTAACTAATCCATCATCTTGGAGTAATATGTATTGGTATTTATTCCCTAACACTCTTGAATTTCTTTTCTTTCCTTTTTTTTTGAGTAGTGGACCAAAAGGGTAGCCAGTGTGTTAAATAATGCTGTGAGCGGGTATTGAGTCTGATTACGTTCTTATTAAGGAGGAAAAAAAAAATCCCTGTTTTGGCACTGGGACGATAAAGTAATGCCCTTGCCTTGTTTTCTTTAGGAGCCTGCAATTACACCACAGTGAAACAGCCTTAAGACAGCCAAGCAAATTGCAAAAGGCCAACATCTTAGGCTCTACTAGCTAGCAATACATCCTTGGACAAGTAGTTCTTTTGCTTTTGAGCATCAGTTTCATTATATCATCTGTAAAAAAGGGTAATACTTCACATTTATTTCACAGGTTGCTGCTAGAATGAACAAAGTAATTTTTTGTGAAAATGTTGGGAAACTCCTGTACACTATGGAAGTAATAGGTGGTATTACAGGCCAGAACATCTTTATAAATAGGACCCCACATACTTAAATATCTAAAGCCCCTTAAATAGGGCCTAGGACAGACTGGCTTTATGCCGAATTATGCTTTGCAAGGAGATACATTACTCAACAAGATTAGGGGGTGTAAGAAGTAATTATACTTCAGCATTGACTTGAGCTTCTTATCTGTGGAAGGCACTGTGTATTAGGTTATGTAATTGTGTATTGCAGTGGTTCTCAAACTTTTTGTTCTCAGGATCCCTTTATACTTAAAAATTATTGAGAACTCAGCCTATGTATGGCTTGTATCTATTGATATTTGCTGTACTAGAATTAAAAATTTTAAATATATTTTATTAAATCATTTACAAATAACAGTAATCCGTTACCCGTTAATAGAGATAATGGTTTATAGAAAACAACTGTACTTTTCAAAACAAAAATTTAAGGAGGAGAGTGGCATTATTTTACATTTCTGCAACTCTGTTTGTTGTCTAGCTTAACAGAAGACAGCTGCATTTTCATATCTGCTTCTGCGTTCAGTCTCTTGAGATATCACACATCATGTAGCCTCTGGAAAACTCCACTGCGTGCTTGTGAGAGAATGAGGGTAAACAATAAAAGTAACATCTTAATATTATTCATGAAAATGGTTTGACTACACATACCCCCTGACAGGGTTTTGGAAACCACACTTTGAGAATCTACTAGTATACATCTATAGTAACAGTGAAGGACAACTGCTCTAATCAAAACAGCTTTAAAAAATTAGAGAAATCCTGAAGGCTAGCAACATGTATGTCTTTGTGGAGACTTACAGAGTTTTTGAAATACATTTGCTGGGAACAGGTCCAGTTCTGTTGGGGTCCAGTCATCCCGCCCTCTCAGAAAAGTTACAGTCTAATCTAGCTGGTGAGAGACAGGAAGCTAACAGGTTAGAAGATAAATCCATGTTGTGGTTTAAGGTAAATGTTGAAAATAGCAATTTCCTAATAAGGTAAAAACATTTATGTCTAATCTTTGCTAAAGGCATTCTCATTTTAAGTGAAAAATTTTTAAATAAAAACTAGGACATTCTCTCAAGATCTTTGTTATGTGCACACACCAGATGTTATTTTCAGAAGCTGGAGACTTGGGCATTTCTTATTTTTGTGGGTAAAAGGACTGAACCAGTGGTAAAATAGAGGGGAAAAAACAAATTGTTTAAAATGATGCCCTAAACACCACTGTTTTAATAACTAAAGAAAGCCAAAGGATAAGCATTTGGACGTCAGGGGTTTGGGTGAAATAGAATAGCCAGTTAAATTGGAGATATTTTAATAGTATAGGCATGAGAACTTTCCCTGATTAATTCTTCAAAGAGCTGAGAATGCCTCTTTAATTTTCCAGTAAACAGTTGCCCTCACATTATTCTACCCAGGTGAAGTAAATATAAATGAAGTAAATGTTCTGCAGTTTGGGGTGGATATTAGAGAGAACCCCACCTTTTTTTTTTTTGACGATCCATTTGGTAAGCTGGGGTGCTGATTATTGATCCTTGCCAGTGGAAATAAATTTGTAATTCGTAGTAAAGCTTGTGATAAAGGTGGAAATTACCTTGATCCAGTGATGGGTTATTTTGTGTCATATTTCTCTCACAACCCTCCATCTAAAGAAGACTCTTGTATGTCCAGTAGATTACATTTTCTAGATAGGATCAGTCATTTGTTCATCCTTAGGTCAATGCATTTACTGCTTTTTGGTAGCACCGTTTCAGGTGTTTATTAGGTGCTTAGCATGTAACAAGACACTCAGTAAATACTTGATAATGAATGAATGAACTTTCTTTCATTTAGATCATGGCTGGAATGGTCTTAAACTTCATGTTGAAAATAAACACAAAGTGAACTTCCCCCTAGAATGCTTTCACCAGTCCTTACTCCCACTATTTTCCTCTGTAAGGTAAATTTTGGATTATGAGCAAGTGGCCTTCTGCAATGTTACCGCAATGGAATTGAATTCTTTTGACATTCTGTGTTTATAGATGGGCAGGTGGACATTTTAGTGTATACGTGGTTGGGGCAGTTAAAAATCAGTGGACAGGTGATACTTTTTCACATTAATTCTGAAGGTTAACATTTGAATTTTATATACTTCTCTGAAGAACTTAAACTTTGTTGGTAATATTTGTTTTTTTGTTTGTTTTGTTTTGTTTTTAAGTCTGGCAAAGATTTATTAGGAAGCTTATTAGGTACGGTGAATAAAAAGCCATGAACAAAAGAACTGAG